TTTGATTTTAAATTTATGCCAATTTAAATGGGCAATTGCCTATATTTAATCTATTATTGTAAAAGAAAGATGACATAGCTTATTTATTAGAATATTAAACAAATTTATTAACATAATATATATATATATATATACTGTTAAAAAAATAAATACGTTATATTGTTAAAATCTGGACATTTATTATGAGCATAAATATGAAAACGATTTTCCATTAAAATCGGCTATTTATTAGGGTCATTAATATGAAAGATATTAAGACAACATGGCTTCATTTATTAGTTTGAAATTAAGACAACATCCCTTAAATTGCTAATCCAAGATCCGAATAGACTAAAACCCGGGTTAAACCCGGATCCAAAAGAATTAAAGCAAAAAAGTACTATAAAAATGTATATGTAGATTCTTAGATATAAAGGAGACTGTTAAGACTACACCATACAGGCTTTTAGACCAAAAAAGAGCCAACGAATAAACTTGCATAGACGTAGAGATTGAGGATTCGCAAGTTTAGGAGAACCGTTAAGCAACAGGACAAGTAACTTCAACCAATAATAGTCGCATATCCATAGATCCAGATGTTGATTGAAGACAAGCATAAATACACATACTACACATGTGACAACATAATATATTTTAGTGTACTAAGTAATATAATACGATTGAAAACTTAAAGTTGATAAACGGAAAATGATACCTCTTCATTACAGTTCAATTATATGTCTAATGAAAGTCGTTCCAGTGATGTGATCGATTTGAGGAGGTTCTCGAGATCTTGCTGAACATCATTATATGCCACTTCTAGCTTTGGCATATGCCCAATCAGATAGGAGAAACCCTCTCTTTCATCCTCAATTTTGAAGTACTTTAAAGAAGGGGTAACTATCACATACTCATCAGAAGAAAATCTACACCGCAAGGACGGGAAACAAGTAACGCTCTCATATTGTCATTCTCATCTCGTTCACTAGTCAGATCTTCCAGAACAGGGCAATAGCATAGAAGCAATCGAAGAGATTCTTAGTTTTGAGTGAAACCACTAGCTTTCGCCAAGCTCTTGTAAAACATACGGTTCCTTTTTGGTAAATATAATTCAGATCTTCTTAAATCTTTTTTAAACTTTAATAGATCAAATCCTAAGATGTCATTTGCAAGATTGTTACAGTCTTATATATATATATATATATCTCTTTCAAACCTAATGATTCGAATCCTCAACTGAATACGAGGTTGCATGTGGGTGAACCACGGAAACAACATTTCACCTCCCTCTCCATCTCAAGCTTGTTTTGTCCTTGTCCGATCGAAATTGTTGCAGTCTTTAACCGGCAAGACTTTCTCAAAATATATGTCGCCAGAGCTTTCCCTTCTATGGAATCATGGTTACCTAACCACTTGAAAGTTTGGAGACTCGACCACAAACATTGAGGAACACTAGTCAGTTGATTCCAGCAACCCAGTCTATCCATACCATCACGTGAAAATTGTTCCTTGGATTAAAAATAAGAGTTAGATGAAAGGGCACATTATATTACATTGAATTTGAACAAAATTAGTAATTTTCTATCGAAGAAACTTACCTTGAACTTCAAGTTTCGTAGTTTGGGAGAAGCTTTGAGCAACCAGTATAGTAACTTGGACCAATATGCGTTATAGATACTAAACTTCAGATCCTTAAGCTCATCAAAGACAATATCATCACCATATACACCAGTGACAACCTGTACAAAGACGGTTTTAGTAATTTAAGAGATATAGTGATGAGATTGAAGAATTGAAGACTATCAACGGATTCAAATTACCTCTGTCATGTTGTTTTGTATAAGCAATGAAAGTCGCTTGACAGAAGTGACACATTTGAGAAGCTTCTTGATATTGTGACCAGCAGTGATGATATCTGCCTCCTCCAGCTTAGGCATATTCACAGTCAAACATGAGGAACGTGTACTGATATCTGTAGCTTTGAAATACTTCAAAGAAGGAGTATCTATCACATACCCTTCAGAAGAACATAGATCTGAAATCTCAAAGGATAAACTAAGCAATGAGGGGATGATAACAGCGAACTTTCTCACATTGTCGAATGGAGATCGTTCCACAACTAGATCTTCCAAAACAGAGCAATTAGATAAAAGCCGTTGAAGAGATTCTTCATCTGCGTATATCACATGTTGAAGGTGCAAAGTTTTCAAGGAGGGGAGGCAAAAAACATGAGGAACATCAACGAGAATGTTGTTTCTTAGTTTCAATGTCACAAGTGATTTGCAAGTATACAAGCTACTCGGTAGTAATGCATTACGTTTTCCCTTGAAAGGATAAAAATTAACGCTTAGCTCCTGAGCACAACGAGAAACTGCAATTTCAACCCACAATTTGATATCTTCAGGTTGAAATAGTGTAGTGTAAAACGTGAGACACAAGCTCTCTATGACCGGAGAGGAATGTAATGGAAGATTCTTGTCAATAAAAAGCAGCATCCGCAGGCTTTTTGCCAACAGTAAAGAATCGGTTATACTGTCACCCTCCCTTGAGAGCATATTTCGATTATATAAGCTTATGTCATCGTACTCAAGTTTTGGCACCCGCATCCAAAGAAACTTCCATTGCTTCGATAAAATACTCGTGCTTACAGCAACTTTTGTTGGAAGAAACGATAAGATCTTCACGAGCAATTCATCATCAGAAAACCAAGTGATCTTGTCCATATCTTTTCTCTTACCCAGTCAGAAGAATAGTAACAATGAAATGTAGAGGCAGGGAATAATAAAAACAGAGAAATAGAACAAACCCTAGAAAATCTTCAATTTGTCAAAACCCTAAGAAGGTAAATCAAGGAATCGGATATAAGTCTCTTTATATGTAAATAAAAAAAGTGGATTTTGGAATTGGAGAAATATACATTATATTGTTTTTGAAAACTAATCTTTTTTCCAAGCAAATTTATTGAATTATCCTTACTAGTGAATACAAATACTATAATACCTAAACTAAAAAAAAAAAAGTAAGTAAAGTTGTCGGTTAAGAAAGTTATTGTTTTAACAAATTATAAATTCTTAGTATACATATTTATATAATATCTCGTATGGATAAATTAGGAATATATGCAGTATTATCCACGAGATCGTAATCAATAACTTTGAAATATTCAAAGAAGGAGCATCCACGAGAATCTTGTAATAGTTTCAAGGAAACAAGCAATTTGCAAGTATACAATCTTCTTGATTTCTTGAAAATGTGTTAGGATAGCCCGAACCAGGTGAATAAACAATATTCAGCTCACGTACGCCGAGAAACTACAATTCCAATCGATTCGATATCTTCATGTTGAAATGGAAAAGTACTAAACTTGAGATGCAAGCTTTCTAAGACCAGATTCCCATGAATTGGCAAATTCCTTTTAATGAAACGCCGTAGCCTCTTCTTGCATCTAGAATTGATGTCATTGAACTCATGTTTTACCCATGTATTGGCAAATTCAGAATTGATGTCATTGAACTCATGTTTTTGGCCCCCTCTTCCAAAGAAACCTCCATTGGCAACTAGTAGAAACGTAAAAGCAGAGCAACAAAGTAGTAACAGAGGAACGAAACAGAACCCATGGAAAAAAGCTTGAATTCTCCCGACGTGACTAGATCCAAATTCTAGCTCATTTCTATCAGATTAAGAGATTATACGTATGTTTATATATAAGCTCAGCACAAAATGAGAAATCAGTGTGGAATCCAAACTACGGAAGTGGAGCAGAAACGAACTAGTTCTCAGTAGACCTGTTACAAATCAATGCCAATAGTGGATTTGTCCTCTGCTTATATAGATGATAAAGCTTGTTTTTTTTTAACTGTTTCTGTGAGTACAAATATGTACACATAATGATTACAGAGGTTCTAGGGATTAGATTGGAACACTCAAGGAATGTCCTGAACAACTTTGAGAGGATTATTGTCATTTAATGTGCTCTTGTTCTATATTAATATAAGAAACACATGAGGATAAACCAAATGCAGATGAGGTTCTAACTTTTAGATCAATAGAGACAACAATCCACAAGATGTTTACTAAACAGATATTTCAGGACAAGTTAAGTTCATTTCTTCTTCCTTTTTTTCAGTCGAACAAGAGCTCGCATGTACTGGAACCACGCGGCGAGGATGACAACTCCTTGAGCATCTCATGTTTCTCTAGCAGAGTACTGGTGGGCTTTGGAGAGATAATAGCTGTCTTCAATCGAATAGCGTGTTTTAAGATAAATGTCGCTACTTCTTTCTGCTTTTGTGATCCTTCGTATAGTTCCCACTTGAACGTCTCAAGGTGAAATAACAAACACTTGGGAAGAGAAACAGGTTGCTTCCAACAAGCCCGGGGACTAGGGGCACGTCGAATATGTTTCTGAGATCAAAATTTGATAAAGAGCTATAAGAACTTCAATGCTCTGTACAATCAAAACTGAAACCGAAGGTGAAATTAACAGAAATATGTACCTGGCGGAGTTTAAGAACTCTTAGTTTAGGTGAATCTTCAAACAGTCTGGTAAGTAAATCCCACCATCGTGGCGCACATGTGCATAGTTCCAGATGGACAAGCTGAGAGAAAACGGTACCAGTGGGATAAGCAGCCTGCATTTAAGAACATCAAGTAAATCAAATCAAATCACAAGAAACCGACATTATTTTTGGTTCAGGACTTCAGGTAATAAAAAGAGAGATTACATCTGAAGTGATCAGACATAGCGCAAGGCGCTTGACAGAGGTAAGAGATCCCAGAAGTTTCTCAGTATTTTTGTAAATAACATCGACATTTGCCTCTACCACCTCAGGCATATTCTCAATATAACAAAAGCCACCCCAATAGTCTTCAATGTCTACGCGCTTCAATCTAGGGGCATCTATCAAGAACCCATCATCATCTCCCTCAAAAGCTTGTGACGATTTATGCAAAGATAGAGTCTTTAAACATGGAGCAGTAATAGAAACGACTTTAACGTTGTCACCAGGGCATCTTTGCACAACCAAATCTTCAAGACTAGAACAGCTGGATATAATCCGAGGAAGTGACTGGTCATCTAAGTACTTCACATCTAGAAGGTGCAATGTCTTGACGGATTGGAAGCAAACATAACAAGAAGCATCAACAAGACTTATGTTTTCGAGTTTCAGAACCGCAAGCGTTGTACAAGTAAACAAGCACTTAGGCAATCTAATAGGCTCTTCACCAGAACAATAACTGATATTCAGCTCACGCACAAAGCGGTCTACCCCAATTCTAACCCATACCCCAACATCTTTCTCTGCGGTATAACATAGCGAACCAATACTGATATTCAAACTCTCCAAAGTCGGAGCCTTGTGTAGTAACAAAGACCTATCAACAAACTGTGAAAACCTTGGATATGTATTATCATGAAGCCTTAGATCATAATTGAGCCTAGGGACTAATGTCCAAAGAAACCGCCATCGTTTTGACAAAAGACTCGTCACCATAACATCTTTCGTTGGAAGCCATGATAATATCTGTAAGAGGAAATCATCTGGTAACTGACTAAGCCTATCCCTATAACTAACCATTTAGATTACACAATTTGTCACAAATGGCTCTGGTTCCTGCAAAACAAATGAGAATACGAAACAAAGTTAAAGTTCTGGGTAGCTTAATTATATCAAGAACTAAAGAACACAACCATAAGCAAACATTGAATCCGTAGGAAGAAGAAACCCACAAAACTAACCCTATGATACAGTCTAGACAAGTCCAGCGATAGAGAAAAGAACGATTCTTGAACTGATTTGAGTCAGAATCGCAAAGAAACTGGTTCGTGCGCTTTTGGGTTTAAATCAATTCACCTAGCTATGATGAGAAATCTGGTGGATAACAAGGATTGCTTGAAAACCCATGAAGAATTTAGCAGAAACTTACGATTTTATAGCCAAATTGTTGCTTCCGTGACGAAATTTGTAGGTTTTCTCTGTCTGTGAAGTTGTGCGAGAAGAAGTAAAGAGAACTCGGTATTTCAATTATGTTGGTTTCGGTTCAATTAAAGGCCGGTATGATTTTGGAACGATCTTCTACCAAACCAAAATTAATAAAAAAAAAAAAAAAAAAAAGAGAGGAAGATTACTAAATTGAAAAATGTATAGTTAGAATTTATAATATATATATGATTCATTATACAATGTAACTAACATTATAAAACCATTGTAATTAAAATTGACGAAATTTGTAGGTTTTCCAGTGGTGTTCAATTATGTTGGTTTCGGTTCAATTAAAGACCGGTTTGATTTTTGGAACGATTTTTAGAAGCAAGACTACCAAACCAAAATTAATCCAAAAAAAGGAGCAAGATTACTAAATTAAAAAAAAAAATGTAGAGTAAGTAGAATTTATTAAATATATATGATTTATTTCACAATGTAATTAAAATTTATTAAATATATATGATTTGGTTATTGAAATAGTAAATCAGTCTGATTTTTGTTATGAAATAAATTGATTCACATTGTTTTTTGTTCGGTTCAAATTAGCTAGTATATTATCCAAAGATGAAAGATATAATGAAGAATGCAACACATTAAAACCCTGAAACTTGAAAAGTAACATCTACGACTACAAGAACATAGTCCTCTTGAGTTTCAAGATCATATGGATTTAACATGCAGATCAAATGGACGTTATAGTTAAATTGAGCATAATAGTTTATGCGGTCGGGTGGTGGTGTTTCAAGGCCATGGCGTAATTTCACTCTTTCATGAGTTCAATTCTTACTTGATACAACATCGCATTGCGGTCCATATTTTGTCGCTTGTCAGTGGCAACCATGATTGTGTCAAAACGATGGCGTATTGTCTGGACAATGGTGCCTAAACTTGAGTACAAATACACTGATGATGAAATCGGAGGTATTTGTAGGTTTATTAACATGTCAATGAAACTTCACAAGGCACCTGTTTTAGAAACCTTGCGTATCCATTCTCGACCGGTTGATGCTAAAAAGTGGATTGCAAACGCAGTTGATCGCCATGTGCGTGTTCTAGAGCTCAAGCTACTTAGATCAAGAACACTTACCAAGTTGCCTGAGAGTCTTTACACATGCAAAACACTTTGTGTTCAAAAGAAAAAAATATCGTTTCAGCTTGTCTTCTCCACTGAAATAGAATGGAGATTTTAAACTTTTGACTACTCTTTCTTTTTTTTAAAATCATATTTTCAGTCATTTTGTTATTTGAGTTCCAAGGCTTTGCAAGTATAACTCAATTCTCATAAAATCAATAAAAACAAGAATGCAAGAATTTGTTGTTTAGGAATGTGTTGTCTGTCACACATGCAGTCTTACTATAAGTTTACTGTTTTTGAGACACCGGCACATACTATAAGCTTACAGTTTTTGTATTTTATTTGGTAGTTCCTGTGTTCACAATAATTCTCTGTCCTGTCTCCTGAGAAAATCCAATGAGCTTGAAATAAGGAAGAACTTTGCTTAGTTAATCATTTTCTAAGCTTCTCAAGGAATCATTATGTCACTATGAGTTTAAGTGGAACAAAAAACACATAAGTAACATGCTGTGAATAGGAACTTGACCAGTCTCTATTTATCTTCTTGTAGTTTTTGTTAAGCTCCTCTGTTTCTAGTAGTGATATTCTCGACTTTTACACCTTTTTGTTACGTTCTGCTCTAAGTCTCCTTTATATGTGGCCAACAAGACAGGAGTCGACCCTACCAAAAAAAAAACAAGACAGGAGTCGATGAATCTTTGGGTTTTTTTTACGAGAAGCAAACTTCATTCATTCGTTCTTTTATACGGGGACGGTTCAGGCTTTTCCGGTTTAGAAAAATAATAACGGATGTAAAATAAAATCTATATACATCAGTTTATAGGATTCTGGTTTTGGTTGAGTTCAGTTTTTCTTAGATTGGTTTTATCTTATCTCGATCAGTATCAGCTTCACTTTTTGTTTTTGGTTATCTAAAATGTGTATATATATATATATATATATAAACCACTTTCACCCTCATAAGAACGTAAAATCTTTTATTGCTTGGATATGTGAAAATTTCTTAATAACAAAATGGTCTAGGGTTTTGGATTATTAGGGTTCGTCCATCGCCTCGACGCCTCCTCGTCTACATTTCTTATGCTCGTCTATTTCTATAATCTTAATTACGAATTCTTAGCCCTATGTCGTCATTAGAAGCCGAAAGTTGTGTTGTTTCCAGAGACAGGATCAGTGCCCTGCCGGACGACTTGCTCATTCAGATTTTGTTGCTTGTCAAGACCAAAGATGCAGTTGCCACCATGTTTCTGTCAAAACGATTGCGTTTTATATGGACAATGGTGCCTAAACTCGAGTACATAGACACTGGTGATGAATGCGAAAGCCTTTGCGGTTTTATTAACAAGTCAATGGAAGTTCACAAGGCACCTGTATTAGAAACTTTGCGTATCCGACTAGGTGAAAAATGTCCTATTACTGTAGATGTTGGAAAATGGGTTTCAAAGGCAGTTGATCGCTTTGTGCGCGAGCTAGAGGTTGAGCTTCTCTGGACCGCAGAATCTATCAGCTTGCCTAAGAGCATTTACACATGTAAATCGCTTGTGGTATTGACTCTCTCGGGCAAGATTCTCGTGGATGTTCCTTCCTCGGTTTGCCTCCCGTCTCTCAAAATATTGCGCCTTGTTTATGTGGTCTACAAAACGGTAGATTGTCTCGTCAGGCTTTTATCAAGTTGCTCATTTCTTTATCGTGTGCTCGTGAACATAAGTGATTGTGGGGAAGACGTTTTATTGAAGAGGAATTTGACTCACTTTTCTAGGCCGCATATTTTTGTTCTTTGTAACGCTGATGACAAGTTTATGAGTTCTATGCCCTTGGTCAGGTCTCTCAGTCTGCGTTTGAAAGATCCAATGGTATCAATTTCTATCTCTAACTTTATATCCTTCTCACTCTTTCTTGTTCATTATATTTATCTTAGTCCTTCAACTTTGTCACTGTAGGCTGTGAATTTTAGTGGCATTACCTTCTCTCGACTTATACAGATTATACTAGATCCAAGATACCATCTCTGGATAGATCTACTTCAAATAATTCTTAACGACTCTCCTAATCTTGGGATGCTCCATATCCATCCTGTAAGTAACAATACAATAAGTCAATATCCTTATGGCAACCCACATATGTATAAACTGGTCCTTAATTCTACTTCTTGAATTTGATGTCCTTGGATCCAGGAAAAAGGATTTCTACCTGGGTATATCCCATTGTCATGGCACCAATCTAGTTATGTTCCTAGATGCTTGTCGTTCCATCTAGCGATCTTTGAGTGGATAGAATACGGAGGAAGCAAAGATGAGGAAGAACTCGTGAGATACATCCTTGCAAACTCGAAGTGTTTAATCAAAGCGAAAATCACATTGAGATCAGAATTCAACCATGAAGAGAAAGAGAAGATAGTAAAGGAGTTAAAATCTATGTTTAGAGTTTCAACAAAATCTAAGCTTCTCTTTGAATAAAAAAAAAAAAAAAATCGCCTCTTTGCATATGATATTTAATTTCTGTGTGGATTTTAAGGATAATTTCGCCATTTGAAATGATCTGTGTTTGCTATGATGTACTTTACCACTTGTGTTTTTTGGGTTTGTGCCTATGTACTGTCTCCACTCCAAAATCTCGATATGCGATGATAAACATTCATGAACAGAACTCGGCTGGTTCCAACGTTCCATTGGGTCAATGTATTGGATACAAATGAAACTTATATGCACCACATATGTGTGTTAGCCCTAGACAGGAGAGAAACTGAAAAACACAAAATTAGAAAGAAATACTACATATCAACTTAAGCTTGAGAACTCAAAGTCTTGGAGCACCTTTTTAAGTTATACATATAAGTAGATTTCGCCACTCCTTTGAACATTTTTACAGCTCTAGATGTTCAAGATACACTTATTTACCCAATACTATAAGGATATTATAATGTTAACCTGCAGGTTAATATATCAAATGAGGTAATTAAAAGGTTAGAAAGGAAACAAAAAAAAAAAAAGTAAAGGTCAGTTTTGATATAATAAATATTTATTGGTCAAGCAATTATCTCTTTATGATAATTATGTGATATATATAAATACTAAAATTGATATAAGGAGACTTTCAACAACGTTTCTCGCCTCTTTCTGTGGCTGTGTCAAGGTGAGAGTAGTCTTCCTCCAGATTCTTGATCTTATTACTCTTCTTCTCTCTTTTTTCTTTCCCTAAAAATTAGGCTATATCTTTGTGTATTTCTATGTGAAAAAGGTTTGATCGCCCAGCCTCTGATATGCTTAATTTATGGAAAATTTCAATGTTTGAGAGTTAATTACGAATTTCTGGAACAGATCCTTGCATCACCAATTTAACTTCCATTAAATGGGATAAGAACGGTTTGGCAACATAATTTTTATGGTTTCCTTATTTTTTTAGGGTTTCAATATGTAGGATTTTGAATCTGTATATGTATGATTGGTTAAAGATATAAGTCACTCTTTCCTATTTTAAACGTATGTTTCACAACAGTATAGCTTCCGTTGAAACCAGAGTAGTATGTTACAATGATATGTCTGTTTCTTATTGGCGTGTAGGACAAAAAGCAATGGCAGATAGCAGAAAAAGGAAATTGTATAGAGTGGGTTTTCTTGGTGATTTTGTTACGGCCTTTGAAAAAGGAATATACACTGATATTATTCTTAAACCTGGTGGTGATGGGCCTAAAATTCCCGCTCACAGAGCTATTTTGGTAACATCTCTAAACTTGATGAATAATCTGTCTATGGATTTTTACTTCACAATCGACTTTGTTAGATTGCGGGTTTAAGAACCGATAAACCCAATTATACGTCTTGTTTGGTCTCGTTGCTTATATGTTTTGTCATAAGCATTGATATATTGTCATTAGTTGGTAAAGTTCACTCTCTTGAAATTCCTATGAATAACTCTCTCATTAACTTACGTAGTATATTACTCCTAACTGATATAAATAATGGTCAACTTGATTGGTCGGGTTAGCATAATGCACACTTTAGATCTTGATTTCTCTATCGTATTTATGTGTAACTCCGAATTTATGTGAAGTTCATATGTAGCTTATAGCAAATGCTTATGACAGAAACCTCATATATTAAGTTTTGTTATAGAGTCAATGGAATTTTAACTAAGTTTTGTTGTTTACCCCACAGGCAGTGAAGTCGAAAGTGTTTAGCTACATGTTGGCCTCTGATGAATTCAAAACTTCAATAGAGAAATCAATTACCATTCCTGACTTGAGTTATGAAGAACTAAAGACTCTACTTGAGTTCTTCTATAGCGGGGTCCTGAGTTTCGCCAACATACACAATCGAGCTCTCTATCTTGCTGCTGACAAGTATGACATAGAATATCTCCAAGATGTTTGCAGAAATCAGTTAATATTTTCTATTAGTGTGAGCAATGTTCTCGATATCCTTGAGCTATCCAGTATCCCTTCAAGACAAAATCTTGATGGAATATGCAATAAGTTTTATCGTCAAGCACATGGAAGAGATCGTAAATTCCAATGGATACAAAACATTCGTTCGGAGGAACCCTGATTTAAGTTTGGATATCACAAAGGCCTATGTGATCTATGTTTAAGTTCATGCATATGTTTTCAGCTTCAAATTTTCAAAAACGGTTGCACTTGTTGTACAAACGTTTATTTTTTTTTTAATATAATTTAACATTACATTCAAAAAAAAAAATAAAAAAAAATAAATAAACCTTGCAATGTCGGAGCATTTTCTCATTCTACGCCATCTAGCCAGAACTAGGCTTGTTTCAGTATTTTTGCAGCTTCAGACTTAAAGATTTCTGGACTACACTACTCTGTTTTAAAAAAAAAAATTTTAAAGTTCGAATTATTTAGAGAGCTACTAGTGTTTTCATTACACAGTCCAATCCAAAAATATGTTGCCTCTTGACACCTTCGTAGATAATTTCAGTCTGACATGTAGCAGTTGAACATATGAGCACAGATTATAACTTCTTGAACATATGATGTTTCTCAGTAGATTTTGAGGAGAATTTCGACGTCTTTAGATCAGCGTTTGCTATTTAACTCTCAGGTAGTCAGGTTGATCACAAACATTCTCGACATTCGCCTTGACCAGCTCCGGCATCTTTTCAAACTGTAAAAATATACTGAAATGGTCTCTAATATTCCTTTTATCGACTCCATTGGCTAGAGGGTATATGAGGTGAATGGAGAAAGGCCTAAATACTTACTTCGCTGTACCTAAGTAAGTTCCTCTAATCCTCTATTTCTGACTAACAGAGACTATGTATCAAGCGGTTAAAACACGAATGCAGAGTTTAGGCTTCTCTTTTCTCGTACCAACCATTTATCAAAGTCACAACTTATAAAACTTTTCATACAATGAATCTCTATATTATTTGTGAGATGACTTGTTTAGCAAGGTAAACAAGGCATCTCCTCTGTTTCAGCTATATATGCTTATTGGATTGACTCTCTTCGGTTCACGCAATTACAGTATCATAAGAAGTTTAGAGAACAATTGAAACGCTAATTAGGTCAGAGATACTTCAAAGCAACATTTTATCCTTTATATTTTTTACTCTACTTGAATTACTTGAGTCCAAAACTGAACATCCAATTATCTTTTTCAAATATATAACTTGATAAAGTGAGAGGATTCACAACAAGAACGCTAGCTCTAGTGCGTCCCCATTCCACCAGATAGATCGAAGCATCCGCGATATCATGTTAGCTTACAGATATCACAAAGGCTGTGGAAGATTGCTATCCCAATGACATCAAACAACTTGAGACAAGTTATCAATGACATCAAAATCATTCCCCCGATCATCAATGGTTAAGTACTTCAAAGAAGGAACATTTATCGTAACCTTTGGAATACCCTCATCGTAATGTGAGGAAGATTTCAAAGCAATCTCGTTTAAAATTGCTCCGTATAATCTATAGCATAGCTATTAACAAAAACATCACTATTTACACTTACATTGATGACATCCAAATGTAAAAAACTTTGAGAGACAAGAGAAGTGATCATAAGATTGGGAAATTGTGATGAGAAAAAAACGAATTCACAAAAGTATCAAACAGTAACACTAATGCTGCTCAAATCTTGGCTCTCAATGTATAGTCACTAATTTGGAGTAAAACTACAAGCTTTGAGACAAATCAGAAGAAAGAAGTTTGAAGACTTAAAGAGGAAAAAAAAAACATGTTCAAATAAATCAAAACATTAAAAATCTTATAGCTTTGAGATGCCAAAAAACTTAAGTGAATGAAAGCTGACATCTTCTAGAACTCCTTGGCATAGACTCAAACTCCAACTGTATTTTGTTTCTCTCTTCCAACGTGATTACTGATGAGAATCCAATACTCATAGTTTTTATGAAGTTTCCATTCTCTAACAAATACTTTACCACATCCTTCTCTTCTTGTGTCCCTTTGTACAAAATCCACTCAACAGTTTTGAGACTCACAAGTAAGCATTCAGGAACAGAACTCGGTTGCTCCCACTTGGTACGGACATTTCTAGAATTCCGGCAGCTCCCGCCTCTCTCTCTCTGAGATCAAAAATAACATGAAAAAGAGTTGCAATTAATTAATATACACCAAGACTATATATATACTGAAGATGCAACAACATCATCTAGGTTGGGATCAAAAAACGTACTGATTGGTAGAGTCTGAGAGCTCGGAGTTTAGGTGAACGGCTTAGGATAAGATTCAACCAATCTAAGGAGCACATAACACATAGGTCAAGAGACACAAGCTGATCAAAGTCGCCTTCCGGATATGAACCCTGCAAAAGTGACAGCATCATTAGCCGAAACTAAATATAAATGCAAAAGAATCTTAAACAAAAGAGAAACAGAGAGGCTTTACCATTTGTGGTTTTAAACATAAGGAAAGTTTTTTAGACGAGGTAAGATATCCTAGAAGCGTCTCAGAATCACAATGTCTAACGTGGATTTCTGCATCCAATTGCTCGGGCATATTCACTAAAGAATAAAACCCACTAAAATGATCAACAATATCTAAATACTTTAAAGAAGGAGCATTGATGACAAATCCATGATCATTTTTTGGATCGTGATAACCCCCTACTCTGTAGCGGATCTTTAAGCTCTGCAACGATGGCACACAAATTGCGAAAGTCTTCACATTTTCGCCGCCCCATCGGTCCACAACCAATGTTTCAAGAATAGGGAAACAAGACAAAAGCCTCTCAACGGTTTTATCGCTTGTGAAGAACACATCTAGAAGAGACAAAGTCTTGAGGGACCGGAAACAAGTTGTCGAAGGAACATCGTCAATGGTCACTTTCATGAGACGTAAAACCACAAGGGTTTCATGTGTGTATAAGCTCATAGGCAATGGTATGAAATGAATACAGTAACGAAGAAGCTCAATATCAGGCACTTTGCGAGTAACCGCAACATTAACCCATGTTTCATAATCTTCAGGTGCATAATCTCGCTTAAGTCTGAGATACAAAGATTCTAGAATTGGAGCATTGTTTAGTTGCAAAAACTTTCCGATAAACTCTGATGCTGAAGCACTATATGTATCGTCATAATCAAGCTTCGGAATCAATTTCCAAACAGAACCCCATCGTTTGGACAAAAGACTTGTAGACACAGCAACTTTTGAAGGAATTAATAACAAAATCTTAACCAGCAAATCGTTAGACAAATCACTTATATTTACCATGTTGAAACAACCTTTGGTTCTTCTATTGGAATTTGAAAGACCGAGAAAACCTAGGAGAACCTCGAAAAGACATAGACATTGAAATCAGAATAAGAAAAATCAAAGAACCCTAATCACAAGTATCATGTTTCGCATTGATATTACGATCACCTAGAAAGAAAAAATAGTTCAAGAGAAAGGTACACTAACCTTTTTGTTATTTCTCTGTTACTGCCAAGAACGCTCCTCTGTTTGGGTCGAAACCCTAATCATAAAGGTTGTATATATGTAGCTATTTTGCATCTTTATTGGTAAAAACAGTATTAATGAAAAACTTATATGTGTGATCTGGAAAATCTTATAAAAAAGGACATTAGTGATGCAATATTTTTTATTTAAATATTTTATATAATTATATATAGATTTCATATATTTGCATTTTAATGTATAGAAACTTTATGCAGATTTGTTAAGAACTAGTTAGAAATAATTTTAAGTTTACACTATAATAAAAGGAAAAAAATCATGTAACAACAAATATCAGTAGATATTTAAAAAACATTCCCCATAAATTTTTGTATAATCTCTCTAGTTAATGTATCAAGATTTTTGGATAATTTTCAAATACAAGATTTTTGGATAATTTTCAAATACATTTATAACTTCCAGATATATTTTTTTTAAGAAAAAATCTATTGTTTTTTTAATGATTTTATTTGGATTTTGAAATTTATTATAATAAGATTGTGTTCAGTTGTTGAATTTATTAATAAAATTGAGATTTGTTTCTTTCCTTTTGTTTATTTTATCAAGTTCATAAAACAAGAAGCCTTGTGTAGATTTGATTAAGTTCATCTCACGGGAAAATGGTCCCAAACGTGGATTCTCTCGAGTTCCTTGGTTGATTCCTTCTATCCGGTTTGTACGTTGCGCCACTAATAGATTTCTAAAAAGAAAATGTGTATAGAAAATTGCCAATTGTTCCACTATATAGCAAAAACAAAATATTGACAAGAAAATAATAGGAAAAAAGATGGCTGGCTACATGAAGTATCCGCGAAAACATGGCCACACATGCAAAGTTTAAAAATGTATCTCTAACTACACAAACTATATGTATCGCATGCCCACATATACGAACTATATGTAGTCATGTCGCCAACACCACAAACATTTTTTTCCAATATATTTTTGCCGGAATCCGGTATTGACCAGTTTGACTGGCGTTGACTGTATACAGGCTCCTAGGCAACCGTATGGGCCCTGAACCAGGTATATGTTGAAATATGTGAAGATTACGCACGCCACGAGAAATCGCAACACTAATCCATGTTTCAATATCTATAGAAGGACAATTTCGACTAAGAGTGAGATGCAGAGTTTCCAAGACAAGAGCTTTGTGTAGTAGGAAAAACCTGTCAACAAAACGCGAAGTTCTCCAGTGCTCAGTGTCAGGAGATGGATCAAGATACTCAAGCTTAGGCACATGTTTCCAAAGATAACGCCACCGCCTGGACAAAAGGTTTGTGGATACAACAACTTTGGTTGGATACATCATCTGGCAAAAAACTGATCCTATCCATTGTAAACGAACCCTTCGAAATCTCAAAAGTTTGTCTCAGTAGATTTTGTTGCTTTTCTTATGCCCGTAACAATTCTCAAGCAGAGAAGCCAATAGCAAACCCTAGCAATTACGACAACGCACTTGTTTCAAATCAAACCATACGGACAAAAAAAATTGAGAATCAACGAGAAAGTTTTTACCTTCTGAACAAATCAACTACGACCTAGTTATACTCAGTCAAATGCTGAATATTCTTTAACAATAAAACAAATGCTGAATATTCTTTAACAAATAATATAAATTGTATGTTTACAAAATCTTTAATGTATATTTTATTATATGATACTATGACATTAGAAAATAGTTTTCGGTAATTACATATCTTTAAGAAAACGATATACATATCTTCTAAAGTTAGTGAGATTTTTTTTCATTTTCAATCTTTTATTATCTATCTATGGAATTAGATTATAAGAGATTTTTCTTAAATCCTTGTACCCAAATTAAATTAAATTTCTAATATATTAGACTAAGAAGATAAAACGAAGTTAATATTTCTCAATTCATTTGTTTATTAATACATTTATATCCCTTGTTTGAAAAATCGCTAGGCGCTAGTCGGGCGCTCGGCATGGGCCTAGCGATTAATCGGAAAATCGGATTAAAATCGGGGATTAATTTTAGGGTTATTTTAATATTTTTAAAATTTTAATATTTTTAAAATATATTAATCCAATATTGTAAAAATTTATGATTTTTATTACAAATTTATGATTTTTATTACAAATTTATGATTTTTATTCAAATTTGAACACAAGTTATTGTAAAACATCACAAACTCTCCATTCAAATGATTGAATAACAAAAATAAAATCTAAAAAATAATCGGGGTATATAAGATTAGGCGGAAAATAATCGGATTAGGCGGGAAGTAATCGGATTAGGCAGAGAATAATCAGGTTACTGATTTTTTAGGGAATTAGTCATTAATCAAGGCGGATAGGGTGGGCCTAGCGATTAAGCGGGGAGTAATCGGGGCTAGGCGGGGATTTTTAGAACAGGTTCTATATTTAATCACTTTATCAATAAACACATTTCATTGTTTTATTTTATAATGCAGACAATATTGAAATAATCATCAGCATTAAGATCTATATATTCAACATATTAAACACATAATTTTTTTTTTGGTAAGGATATTAAACACATAATTTTAAGAATAGTTTTGTAATTATATACAGTGGAACACTATTTTCGGTTGGGTCAAACTTTAAAATATTTAAAAAAAAAGTATTCATCGCAATTCTGAAAACAAAATCTGCGGTCTTATGATTACAATGACGTCAATAACTTTGGGCACACGTAAAAAAGAACAGTGTCTTGATTGTAAGTAGCCCTTCCCTTCAAAGTTTGTCAAAACTTGTAAAGTTATCAAAACAACATAACTACTAATGATGCTCCAAGAATGTAAACGACTGTTTCAATATATAACTGAGATTCGCCGGGGAACTTCAGGTGAACGAAAGCCGACATTTGGTTGAGCTCCTCTGCGTAGACGACAGCTCTTGCAGCATCTTGAGTTTCTCACTATCTTTGGTCGATTTCAAGGATCTAATAGCCATTGTCTTTAGCTGTGGTGAGTTCTCTAGTAAATACATCACCACTTTTTTCTCTGCTTGTGTTCCTTTGTAACCAATCCACTCAACAGTTTCAAGACTCGAAATCAAACATTGAGGAACAGAACTCAGCTGCTCCAACTGAGCTTGGACATCTACAGAACTGATGCAACATCTCTGGAGTGGAGGATTTTGTTTTGGAAACAACCTAACTTCTTTTAGCTCGAATCTGAGAACTCGGAGTTTAGGTGCATGTCTGAGTATAAGACGACACCAATCTAAAGAGCACGTACAAAGATTTAGAGACACTAGCTGATTGAAGATGCCTATAGGACATGAATCCTGCAAGTGGCATCATAAGTGAGTGGAACTATTTTGTAATGACAAAGAGAATATGTTATCACAAAAGCACATAGATATTACCATTGGTGGTTGCAAACATAAGGAAACGTGTTTAGCTGAGTTAAGCAATCCCTTAAAATTCTTAGAATCACCATGTTGAAGCTTGATATAGGCCTTCACGAGGTAGGGCATACTCACTAATGAATAGCAGCAACTAAACTTGTTAGCAATCGTTAACGACTTTAAAGAAGGAGCCTTGATAACAAACCCAACATCATCTCCGGGAACTTGAGAGGAACCGTCTATGACCGTTAATCTCTGCAGTGAAGGAACTGAGATTGTGAAAATCTTCACGTTGTCGTTGTTGCCTCGAACCACTATCAGGTCTTCAAGGACAAGGCAACCAGAAAAGAATCTATCAACGATTTCATTGCTTGAGAAATTCACAAGAAAAAGGGTAGAAACCTTGAGTGAACGGAAACTATTTGTCAAAGGAGCATAATCCATAATGAAGTCTCCTTCTAGGAATAATTTCACAAGGGTTTCACATGTGTATAGACTCCTAGGTAACCGAATGAGCCCTGAACCAGGTCTATATCGGTAAATATAAAGATTGCGCACACCACGAGAAATTGCAAAACTTATCCATGTTTGAATATCTGTAGGACGGCAAGTTCGACCAAGTGTGAGTGTCATACCTTCTAAGACAGGAGCCTTGTTTAGTAGCAAAAACTTGTCAACAAAACGTGAAGGTCTCCAGAACTCAGTGTTTGGATAATTTAAATCCATATAAGTTACCTTGGGGACATGTTTCCAAAGTGAACACCAACGTTTTGACAAAAGACTTGTGGTCACGGTATCTTTCGTTTGAACCATAGAAAGTATCTTCAAGAGCAAGTCATCCGACAACAGACTTATCCTATCCATTTAAACCGAACCCCTTTTAAAATTTCTCAAAAGCTTCGATCTTAGTCTCTGTTGATTTTGTTGCCGATGCTGGGAAACAGTAAGCCTGGGAAAAAAGAGAAATGTTTGACCTAATTAAACTTCGTCGCCTTCAAAGTGAAACCCTAAATATCCTTTATACGTATAAAGCTTATTATTTCCTTTTGTTTCGTCAGAAAAGAAGAAAGTTAAAATCTAAAAAAGGGAAAAGAAAGGCTTATTTGTTTCAGACTAACTGGCACATTTTTTTTTTTTTAGTGTTAAGATTTAACCTTATTAATAAGAGCGACAAAAGAGTGATGGATACGGACGCGGATCCTAGGGAGGTTGCGAGAGAAGTAGATTTCGCACAGTATGGTCGATGGAGTGGTTGAGAGCTGTCAGAGATAGTATTGAAAATCCTTCAGTTACGTTCCTTCCAAAGGAGTTTCAGAACAATGTAAATTATTGGGACGGAAGTGACAGAGGTCAAAACAATATGTAAGTTACAGCTTGATCTGATCTTCCAGCCAGAAGATTCCAAGTTCCACTGCGACTCGCATCACCAACAAACTCCTCTTTTCCAACCCTTTAAGTATCTAGGGCCAGCACTGCCAAAATATGTCCATTTTTCAACCAAAATGATGCCACCATCTTTGAGCTGACAGCGTAAGAAACATCTGGAAAAGAGGTTTAACAAGGACGTTATATTTATAATGTTTTATCATTTTATAATTATCACTGAAAAAACCAAAATTTTACTCTTTACTCTCTAAGCATAATGAGAAAAAGCCTAAAGTTAGTTACTCTGTTTTAGTCAACGAACTCAGGTCAGTTTCACACTCTTTTGACATGATCAAGTGCTTTCAAGCTCTTTAGTTTTTCTCTCCAACAAAAAGCATAGAAGTTCTAAACAAAGTGATTCGTTTCAGATACTCAGAAAATATTGGCAAAATAGGAAATATATCGAATCTTTGCGACTTTCAGACGTTAGTAATTGGCAAAGTATTTAGCTTGGTGTCACTGATTCATCATCGCGGATGAATTCTAAAACATAAAGTTGATTTCTTATGTGCAGCATTCGTTTAAGGCACGCCCTTTACATAACAAACACGTATCATAAATCAACCAACTTTAAAGTGAAACAGAGAGATCACCAAGAAAATGAGAAAGAGAGAGAGTACTCCGTTGTGTGGTCGAAGAGGAAAAACATTAAGTAAACTCAGAGAGCTTGGCAGGAGGCAACTTCCAAGCGCTTCAGCACAGCAAAACATTACAAGCAGTGTCACTAAGAGATCCCATAAACTCATTGCATTAAAAACAAAGGAGATCTTACTACTGTTTTCTTGATGCATCCTCTGAATATTAGAAAGATTGTTAAGAGGCTAAGAGTTGTCTTACTAGTTTCTGACTCGCAAGAACAGCAGAACGGTTGCAAGAACCGAGTTTAAATTCCACATTATCTGTGTTATAAGGCTAAACCACCGTACTATGTCTTGGACAGACCCACTTTCTTGTATCCACAGAACAAGAGTAAATCAACGTTCGAACCTTTGTAATCTTAATACATAATGAAAACTCAGATTGATGACAAAAATTATCAAAAACGAATGCAATATTTGGGCTTAGACCAATCCATGTCTTTTATTTACAAAATGGATTCCTTCTTTTTCTTCCCTCATACACACAAAGTCTATAACAAGAAGAAAAGAATCAAGATGCATAGTGTTCCAGCCAAATCCTCAAAACCGAATACGGTAAAACGAATATTATCACCTAAAAGCTTTCTCTCTACATATGTCTCCTTGTTAAGGTGTAGTAACAAAATGAATAATCATTCTTCTTCTGTCTCTAATTTGGATTGACAAAGCTTACCTCTCAGCTTTTTAATCTTAGATCCCTCCCCAATTCAAGAACCTCTTCACTTCATCATAAAAAACCAAGATAGCAGCCGAACCCGTGCTCCTAAACATATTAGAGAGTGCTCCACGGTAAAAAGAAGCCAACCCTTCACTCCTATATATCTTCTTCCAACAATCCAATGTGCTACGGTACATTGGATGCTCCATTCCGGATTGCATCATTATCCGTCTACGAACTGTATCCAACGGGTAAGAAGCCAATCCAGCAGATGTAGTCACAGCTTGCGCCAAAACCCATCTCTTCCACAGTGCCAACTCTGGTTTAGTATCCTCTGAGAAAATCTCCTTAACCGTATCAAACCCTCCAAAGTACAAGCCACGGTGAATAATCACGCCATGTAGAGACGCAGGTAAGCCTCTATAGATTCCTCTAACCCCATCTTTCTTATGAATCGTCGACAAGAAATGATGGATTCCTCTAAACTGACGAGCTTCAGGCTTCCCAATGTCAGCAGCTAATCGAGTGTGTGCGATATCTAGCGGATAAACAACAATCAAAGCAGTACAACCAGCTGCAGAACCAGCCATGAAATTAGCTAATGCACCAGAGAAGATATGATTCTCTTGAGAGCTACTGTTTCTAAGAATGCTTCTATATAGATCCTTAAGAGAGAAATTGAGAGCAACTGAAGGATAATAACGAAGCACACTGCTTCCATTGCCTCTCCATAAAGATAAAACACCTTCTTCTCTAACAGTACGGAAGATAAAATCAAACATTCCTTTAAACCTTCTCTTCCCTGCGTGACCATCGTCTCCAACGATTGCGATATTGCTCTCTTGTGTCTGCAATAAAAGCTTCGCTCTTTCAATTGGTGCCACGATCGTGTGAACAACACCTCCCATTACAGCACCAGCAAGCAAATCTTTTTGGAAATGTTTCAGAGTTTGAGGAAGCGATAATGGTGAATGATTCCTTCGATTTCTTGATGGATCTTCGTCTTCTTTTGAAATGCACATCTTCGAAGAAGACACAAAGTCTCGATCTTTGAACGAAAAACACCAAATCTGGAAATGGGTTCGATTCGAATTGCTCAATCCGACATTATCTCGGCGGGAACGAAACGATTAACCCATAAGCCAACAACAACTTGTAGATTCCAAAGAAACAGGGGAAATCAAGAAAACCCTAGAAATTCCCATAAAGAGAAAACCAAAACCTCAAGCGACGATTAAGAATCACAAAAAGAAAGACAGAGATATCTTTGTTGGAGATGATGGAGATGCTTTGGTTCCTTGCGTGGATTCGAACTCAAGCCACAACGAGATAAAGGTGTTAGCTTTCGAGATAGAAGAACTTAGACCGGAGAATTCAGATTCATCAAAATATTGGGCTTCGGCTCAACGTCTACGGCCCAAAATTGCAAGAGATAAAACTTAAATAATCAGGAAAAAAAAAAAAGAATTTTTCGTCGCTAAATCAGTAAATCCTCTCTTTTACCAAAATTCTGATCCAAAAATGTTCTCGTGTCTTTGAAATTTGGCTACATTCATTTCAGTATGTAACCAACATTTGAATATAGTATCGTTTCACAAAAATGAGAACAAAATCTACTTTTAAAACATATGTTTAGATGTTCAAAACTCAAACAAAACACCAGATTTTGAATACTAGTAAGTAATCATCACTCTGTTACATTTTCCTTGGATCTCTCTAATTCCAGACGATATCCTAGTAGTTTAACTAGTTCTCTTGGAACAGATAATTACAATCTCTTCTCATCGAACATAAGTTTACATGAACTTGAACCCCTAGGCAGAGAAACCAACTCCTCCTTAGTTGGCGTTTTCTTCAGGATGTTTACTTACTCATCGAAATCTCTTCGAAATCAGAGAAAGATGCAGTCTTTAACTGTCTTGCGTTCTTAAGGATGTACGCCACCAGTTTATTCTCTTCCTCTCCTCCTATGTAATACTTCCACTCGAAAGTATTGAGATGGGACAACAAGCATTCAGGAACGGATCTCGGTTGTCCCCAACGACCTTCAATAGGGTTCATGGACCAGCACAAGCGTTCCTTACTCAAACAAAATACAAATTATAGAGTATTAGACCTTAAAAGTAGAACTTACGACAAAAAGACAAGTGCATAGAGAAACCGAATGCATAAAGTTACTGTAAATGTACCTTGATGAGCTTGAGAACTTTTAATTTTGGAGAACTTTCGAGCATCCAAGTAAATAGTTCCCACCACTTTAGAGCATCTACACATAGCTCCAGATGAACAAGCTGATAAAACACAATATGTTGCTGAAGCTGCATTGAGAATCTCGAAAAACATAAGCACATGAGTAATGACAGAATTTGAATCATAAGAAACACACAGATTGTTTTTTATTACCATTGAAGCGGATAAGGATAAACATAGAGACAGTCGCTTGACAGATGTAAGAGATCTCATTACCATATCAGGGCTTTCATGAGAAACATTAACATTTGCCTCAGCCATGTTAGGCATATTCTCGCTCAAACACGAGATATCATTGCCAGCTGGATCTACAATGTTCAAGTACTTCAAAGACGGAGCATTTATCACAACTTTTGAAGCAAAATCGTCAACCCACGTATCACGGATAGATAATCTCTGTAAGGAAGGCATTACAACATAGAAACATGGCAGAGAGATGTTTCTGCTTTTATCCACAACCAACTCTTCAAGCACAGGACAACCCGACAAAAGCCTACAATGACATTCATCGGTTTTGTACTCTACGCACAGAAGGTGTAACGATTTCAGAGAAGGAAGACAAACAGCTGTAGGAACATCCAGAACAATAGTATTAGTGAGTTTCAAGACCTCGAGCTTCGCAAACATATACAGACTCCTTGGCAATATGATCGAGTGTTGATCATATTCCTCGTAATATTCAACAGAATGGGAAATTTCAAGTTGACGCACACAACGAACAATTCCAATTCTGATCCAATGTGCCATATCTTCAGTGTTGCACCAGAGACCAACTTTGAACTTCAAAGTTTCTATAACCGGAGCCTTGTGAAACACCATAACCCTATCAACAAACTGAAGAAATCTTTCGTAATTGGAAGGGGGATCATTAACAAAACCCTCATTGAGGTAACGCTTGAAATTATCATCAAAATCAAGTTTATGAACCATCATCCAAAGAAACTTCCATCGTTTTGACAAAACCGCCGTGGCGACCACATCTTTGGTAGGAAGTTCCGACAAAATCTTCAAGAGCAAATCATCCGACAGATTACTAATCATGTCCATATCTAAACAATAATCAAACCCTTTAAATACAAAACCTTTCAGATTCAATCGAAGAATTATCTGATTACACTCCCAAATCAGCCACAAGAACACCACAACGATTACGGGATTCAAAGAGTACAGCTTTTAAGGAATTAAACAAACCCTAACACGCTCAAATCGTTACCGTGAGGCGTGAAGAGCGAAGAGACGAGAAGGAACCCGAAAACCTAGACGATAAGCAGAATCAAAAGAACCGATACTTCTCCATCAGGTTGCTGCTTCTGTTTCTCCGTGCTTTGAACTAGGTCTGGTCAAATTAACCGAATCGCATGTACCGAACCGAAACATAACGAAAAAAACCCAACCAAAATATGAAAATACTGAATTGGATACTAAATATTATAATCGGAACCGAACCAAAATATTTCGGATACCCAAAAACATCCAAAAATAAAATACTTGAGACTGCATTTTGTTTTACCTTCTTGTTCAAACCGCTTCTTCAGCTCCTCTGCTGGTAACATTGTTTGAGATGAATCAAACATCTGCATAAGAATATATTATCATATATCTGATTTCAAAGAGCAAATATAACAGTAAGCCCTTCAAGTTAGACGGTGGCTTACTTGGGGAAAAGGGACACACTTGGTATTACCCTTGAGAGGTTCTGGAGCAATACCGTCAAATCTGTGAAACAGAGTAAATTCTATATCAGATGATATGAGCGGAATCAACTTTAAACCATCAGCATCTAAATTTGTGGAACAATAAACCAGGTGATCATGGTATAAAGTGAATTGATTAACACTATCTTCATGTTCATCAAAATCAAAGAAAAACTCTATTTTGGAAACGCTAACCTGATCAAGTGCCAATACAAGATGTGACCGGAACTTAGTCTGAAAAGTTATTGGACTAATCTGTGCAACCAGCAAAGATGTGGATAAACCATAAGTAGCAGGTAAACCAGCTAAATATGAAAGTTGCAGATACATCAGATTGGCAAAATGTTTTCTATGAATTAATTAACTTACTGTTTGTCCTTGATAAATTTTCTCTACAGCCTCAGTTGCTGCACTGGCTTTCAAAATGGCATCACTTGAAGCACTGGATTCGCCCTCGCCCATTCTCAACAGTTCCTTCATTTTGAGAATAAAACCAGTAGAGGGATTATTCATACACCGACTCATATGCAATTTTGGCTATTAAACATGCCAAATCTTAATAGCTTGTAACAGACTACTAAATCTTTCTTTTTTTTAATCCACAAGAAGCTGACATGAGCTTGAAGCCCTAGGCAGAGAAACCAACTCCTTGAGTTTCTTCTGAGATTGCTTTTCCTGCAGATACGAATCTTTAGTAGAGAAAATCGCAGTCTTCAACTGTCTTGCGTTCTTTAGGATGTATGCCACAACTTTCTTCTCTTCTCTTCTTCCATTGTAATACTTCCACTCAAATGTACTGAGATGGAACTGCAAACAATCAGGAACAGAACTCGGTTGTCCCCAACTACGTATAATGGCCGGCGCTATGGAACATATACAGATCTCCCCACACTAACAGAATACAAACTATAGTTAGACCTATAACTTAATGCAATGAAATAAGTGAATAAAGAAACCGAGTGCATCAAGTTGGAGTTAAAGTACCTTGTTGAGCTTGAGAACCTGTAGTTTAGGAGAACTTTGGAGCATCCAAGTAAGTAGATTCCACCATTTTGGGCCACATCCACATAGCTCAAGGCGAACAAGCTGACAGAATTCAATACGATGCTGAAGCTGCATAAAGAAGTCAGAAACATGCGCACATTACTAATAGAGCAATGAAAAATACTCAAATCACAGAAAACATGGTTTGTTTTTATTTACCACTGAACCATATAAACATAAAGAGAGGCGCTTGACTGACGTAAGGGATCTCATTAGCTTCTCGGGACTTTCACAAACAAGCTTCACATTTGCCTCAACCAATTCAGGCATATTCTCACTCGAACACAAATGACCAAGGTCATAGATATCTACATAGTTCAAGTACTTCAGAGACGGAACATTTATCACAACTTTTTCGTCAACAAAGAATGTCTCCTGACCAGAGTCGTGAAACTCATTAAGGATAGATAATCTTTCTAAGGAATTCATTATGACATATAAAGATGGAGGATATTCGTCTTCACTTTTGTCAATAACCAACTCTTCAAGAACGGGACAACCCGATAACAGCCTACGAAGAGAGTTTTTGTCTTTGTAGTGCACACTCAAGATGTGTAATACTTTCAGAGATGAAAGACAAACCTCCCTAGGAACATCCAAAGAAATTGACTTATAAAGTTTCAAAACCACGAGCTTCTCAAATGTATACAGACACCGAGGCAAAGGAAATGAGTGAAAATCATCTTCACAAGAACGGTAAATTTCAAGCTCACGCACACGACGAGCAATTGCAAATCTGATCCATGTTGACATATCATCAGTGGTGGACATCGGACAACCAAGGTTGAATTTCAACGTTTCAAGAACCGGAGATTTGTACAATACCAAAAACCTGTCAACATATTCTCGAAATACCTTGTATTCAACACGCTCATCATCGAAATATTCATAAACACTATCATCAAAATCAAGTTTTGGAACCATCATCCAAAGAAACTTCCACCGCTTCGACAAAAACATGGTTTCAACAACATCTTTGGTAGGAAGTTGTGACAAAATCTTCAAGAGCAAATCATCCGACAGATTACTAATCATATCCATTTCTAAATACTAAGCAATACCCTTTTCAGCTAGAAGACCCACCTTTTCAATCGAAGATGACACTCCCAGAACAGCAACAAAAACACCAGAACTATTACGGGATTCAGAGACTGCAGCTTCCATGAAACTAAACAAACCCTAACAAGCTCAAATCGGTACCGTGAAGCGTGAAGAAAGAGGAGAAGAGAAGAAACCCAAAAACCTAGACGATAAGCAAAAACAGTGAACAGAGTGAGAGTGAGAGAAATGATGTGCCAATAGAAGAACAGATTGAGAGAAAGATACACAACAAAACGGGTTTTGGTTTCAACGTTTACGGCCCAAACTGTTGTTTACGCAAAAAGTAGAGAGTATAGTATAATAACAATCTAGTCGAATGATAGAAGAATCTTATACAAAACAACATAGAAATTTTGTAATTAGCATACATACCTGATTTACAAGACAATATTGAACTTAGATGAGAATGAGATGGTTAGCCGCTTCTCACCTATTTTACAGTTTTTATATATGAGCTATATTTCCATTATATATACAAATCAAAATTAAATATGTATAACAAAAATATCTACAACTATTGTCATGGTAACTATAAAATTGTTTCCATTTTAATATAACAAACAAACTAGATAGTTTACTAAGAAATGATTAATACAGTCATCTTAACACTAATAATTTAGTCCAAATAAATGTAATTTAAATGCATAGTTAAATATTAATGCTAAAATATATATATATATATATATATATATATATATATATATATTAATGCTTATTTCTAAACTTTAAAAAATGGAAATGAAAATTCTAAAAATATCCACTTATTGCAAAGTTAATCCTGTTTCCATCTTCTTCTAATCTTCTTCTTGGAAACACCATAAGAAGCTATAATAAGAGCTTTCTCAACACATCTAACTTTTAGACCAAAAGCCTCTAGCTTTCTTGGAACAGAGTCAACAGACTGTTACAATCTCTTTTCAATCCAACATAAGTTTACATGAGCTTGAAGCTCTAGGCAGAGAAACCAACTCCTTGTGTTTTTGAAATCGCTCTTCCGTGGTAAACACTCTTTGAACAGAGAAAGCCGCGGTCTTTAGCTGTCTTGCGTTCTTTAAGATGTACGCCACTACTTTCTTCTCCTCATCTCTTCCATTGTAATATTTCCACTCAAAAGTAGAGAGATGCAACCGCAAACATTCAGGAACTGAACTCGGTCCTCTCCAGCAATGTTCGATGAACGATGTGAAACAAGGGCGTTCTTTGCACTAACAGAACACCAATTATAGTGTATTAATTAGTCCTTGCAACTATAACGTAAGACAATGAAACAAGTCAATAACTAGAAATGTATGTATTACCTTGTTGAGCTTGAGAACTTGTAGTTTAGGAGAACTATCAAGCATCCAAGAAAGTAGATCCCACCACCCTGGAGAGTGTTGACATATCTCCAAATGAACAAGATGATAAAATCCAATACGGTGCTGAATCTGCATAAACAATGTCTGAAAGCATAAACAAAACAATATACATATGTAATAAATAAATCACAAAATAACATGGATTTGGGTTTTGCTACCATTGAAGGTTTTGAAGCAGTTGAACATAAATAGAGATTCTTGACTGATGGAAGAGATTCCAGTAGCTTCTTGGGACTGTTATAAACAACTTTAACAATTGCCTCCATAAACTCAGGCATATTCTCACACAAATACAAGTCATGACCATAGAAATCTTCAAAGTTCAAGTACTTCAGAGATGGTACATTGATCACAATCTTATGTACCCAATCTTCGTCGTAGTCGTAGTTTATTGAGTCAGATCTATCAAGTATAGATAATCTCTGTAAGGTAGGAATTTCAACATAGAACGACGATCGCAGATACGTGTTGTTTTTAGTCTTGTCCAACACCAACTCCTCAAGAACAGGACAACCAGATAAAAGCCGACGGTGAGATGATATGGTTTTGTACTCTACACGTACAAGGTGTAATGATTTCAAGGACGGAAGACAAACATCGATAGGAACATCCAAAATAACCGCGTAAGCGAGTTTCAAGACCTCGAGCGTTTCATATGTATAAAGACTCTTTGGTAATTTGATTGAGCTATGTATCTTGAAATAATCACTACAGTGGCGAATGTCGAGTTCACGCACACCGCGAACCATTCCAATTCTGATCCACGTTATCATATCTTTAGACCTGCAACAAGGACCAACTTCAACTTCAAAGTTTCTAGAACCAGAGCTCTATGCAACACCATTGATCTGTCTACACACTTGAGAAAACTCCCGTAATTAGAAGGCTCGGGTTCCAAATTATCATCAAAATCAAATTTCGGAACCATCGTCCAAAGAAACTTCCATCGTTTCGACAAAAGCGTTGTGGCAACTACATATTTGGTAGGAAGTTCTGACAAAATCTTCAAGAGCAAGTCATCGGACAGATCACTAATCATGTCCATATCTAAACCCTAATTAACCCTTTTCAAGTTGAAGCCCTTTCAGATTCAATCGAAGATATATTTGGTTACTCCCAAAAACAACAATAAGAACACCAGATGGGGGTTATGCGATCCAAATTTCCAGCATCCTAAATCTCTAAAGAATTTTTTAGTAAATCAACAAATACACATCGAAATATCGAATCATGCAAAAGCCTAACATATAAGTTAATAACCATGAAGAGCGAGGAGAAGAGAACCCATCGAATAAAAAGAGAGATTGGGCTCAGCTTTTATGGCCCAAATATATATTGAAGGCCCAAATGAAATATGTGGATCGGATCTATCTTAACCAAAAAATATTGGAGTACTGTGCAGATGAACAGTTAATTATGATCTCATGATTGAACAAGTTAAAAGTTTTTTTTTTTGGTCGTGAACAGGTTAAAAGTTAAAAACTTTGTCAACGAAATTGAACAGTTTAATTAGAAATTTTAAAAAGCAATACAGTATAAGTTTTTTTTATATATAATAGTTTCATGTGATCTATTATTGTCTGCCTTTCTTGAATTACTTTGCATACAAGGGAAAGAAACAAGATTGTTTTTTAGGTCAAAGACTTTAAATTTGGATGTTTCTCTTACTTTCAAAATTCACTAATTCAATTGTTCTAGTTCAGATTTGGACTTATCTGATCAATTCTTGTTTGCCGCCACCGAACCCAACATTTTATGCTCTCAACAAGTCAACATGACGTCAATTGCTTGAAACTTCAAATAATATTATGTTTATCTAGGAAATTCTAAGCTTTTGTTCATTATTTTCAGTAACAATAACATTGACCGTTGATAATGCAAGCTGCAATTCTTTTAGTAAGATTCAAAGTTTATCTTAGGGAAATATCAAGGGATATGCATAGAGGAAGCGATAATTAAGTCCCTCTTGTTTATATTGTTCTATCGTTTCTGTTCAATTTTTTTTGACGCATGTACCTCTATAGCATCAAAGGAATCGTATTTAGATTATAGGGTTGTATCATTGCAGAAGGTAGGAGAAGATTTTGGGAATATTGTTTTGGGGAGATGTGCGATTTAAATTTTTTTTTTTTTTTTCTTCTCCAGTTTCCGAACCGTCGTGTTTGTTCTCATCATATATGAGGAGGAGAGACGGTGTTTTCAGTCAGAGAGAAAAAGGAAACAACTCCCCAAAACTGTCCTCTCGTCTTCTTTTTCTCTGGTTCTGTTTTTCTAGCAAAGGGTTATCTCTCAGATCTGGGTTTTGTTCTTCTCCTCTTTTCTTGTAATTAAAATCGTTTTTTTTCTGTTTGATTAAGCTTTGAACGCCGTGATTCAAATGTAAAGAAAAAGTTTATTTAACTTAAAAGAGTGTAAGACAGATATTGTTTAGCAATATCTTAAGGAGGCTTCTTAGTGAGGGAGAAAAATAGAAAGGATAAAAGAACAAGTGGGTGTGGAATGATCTATAGCAACAACTTTACATCAACGAATCAGAGAAGCTTTTTTTACTTCTCTAACCTAAAGAATTTAGAAATTTTGCTATTAGTTGGGAAGAAAATAAACAACAAATTTTAAGCTTATTTAAACCAAACATGAGAAAAAAAGGAAAGGAAATTTCAAGCCTAACACCTGGAGAAGAAGATAAAAAGGGATCCAAGAAACAAACTAGCTAGTGGGTGTTGAATTATATCTCTTCTTGAAGCAACTTTCTACCACTTATTATTATTATTACCCGCACACGTTTTGATTTATTGTTTTCACACACATTTTAATTTCGTGCATTTCAATGAGTAAACTTTAAAATACAATAATATTTGAATAAAAAGAACCTCATAAACTTCACCTTCACTTGTTCAAAACATACAATCATGTTATTTTATTTTTTTGACAGCACATAAATCATGTTAACATACAAAATGATTTGGTATAACATATAGAGAATGTTTTGATTACGTATTACACGCTATATAAAACACATCTCTGTTTTGAAAAAAAAATCAGTTAACAAGTTTAACTTCAAATTTTCTACAGTAAATATGTTATTAAATAATTACTTTTTATTATAGAGTGGGCAAAATGACTTTCAAGAAAATAGCATATATAGCCAACAAATTTTACGTTTGATGTAACATCACACATTTAGTGCTCACTATTGGATTATATAAGAAGACGTCAAAATAACATTAAAAATTGAAGTACTTAGGGAAACTTTTTCAGAATTTTCTATATTAAGGTCACAACAATTAAGAAATACTAAAGAGTAAATGTGCGTGATGACATATAAGGAAAAATATATAGGTCGGAGTTTAAGTGGAACATTAATCTTGAAGATTCTTGTGCGTTTGTATATTTTAATAGAGATAATGGCTTTGAATCGTAACTTATTATCAAAACGGTACATCCTATATCATGTTTACAGTTATCAATCACAAAAATTTTATCAAAAACGTTATTAAAAATTTTATTTACAGGTTTTTTTGTACAGTTTTTTTGTACAGTTCTTTCTTACAGTTTTGTGCTATTCCGGTAAAGTTTACAGCTTCAACTAACAATTAAAAAACTTGTATAACTTTTGGTTACCAATCGGACACAATAAATCTATATAATAGTAATGTTAGGTATTGTCTATAGGATATTTCCATCTATTTATATCCAAGTTGATCCACTAATTTTCCAACTCAACGAAATCTTAATGTAATCGAATAAATAGTTATAACCATAAATATGTGACGACTAAGATGAATAAAACATTTATGAATACGATGAATAACTATAATATTTACAAAATTATATTTTTCCTTCACTTATAAATATTTGTACAACAACTACGTTTTCAAACTTACATATTTACGAAAGAAATTTACCGCTATTTAGAAAAATAGAGAGAGAATTAAATATATATTTTTAGGAAAGCGTAATGCATAAAAGTTTTGCTTTAATAATGGATGGGAACTTATTTATCATTTCTTGAAGGAAAAATAGGTTCGTCGACAGCTCTACTTGTGAGTAATGACTAATGAGCAATTGAGCACATATCTGTTTTTGGAGAAATTAGCCGATATAAAATATTGAGCCACTTTGTGAGATTATGCACTAACATAGTATTCGATTAAAATGAAATGTGAACGACGCCAATAACAAGAGAAATGTGAACACACAGTTTTATCGATAACAAAAAAAATTTGAAAAGAGCAATTAAAAAGAATTGGGAAAGGCAAAGGCGCACGCTTAGACAAAAAGAAAGCAATCGAGAATAAGGAAAAATAAAAATAGAATTAAGAAGAAAACTAAAGAGAATTGTGGTCTGAAAATGCGCTTCATACATGCGCACTATTAAACAGAAAAACCAAAAAAAATCCCAAAAATGAAAATAAATACAACTTTTTCGGTAGAGAAAATGGTTCTTGGGTTAATTTGGAATTGAATTTTGCATGGTTCAATTATTGAGTTAATCAAAATATGTTTCTTTTTTTCCCTTTATATGTATATACAAATAATGAATTATTATATGAAATTACATTCTGACTTCTGAGATGACCTAGTCTAATAAATCGAAAGGGATTGGAATTCGGTTTAAAGCAATCGGAAACTAAACCAGAGAGAATTGTATGTAACAAGACCGGACCGGACCAAAACGAAACAGACAAGAGTGGACTGATGTCTTAATCGTTTTTGTTCTTTTTTCTCTGAAAGAGTCTCTGTTCTGATTTGTCAGCGGAAAAAGAGAAAGAGAAGTGGGGCCCATCTCCGCCATAGCCAAAGACCTCTTTCTCTCCCACCTCATACCTCTCTAGTCTCTACCCATCATTGCCCACGACGAATCTCTCTCTCTCTCTCTCTAAAAAGAGAAACAAACATTTCCTTACTGTTCTCTCTCTTTCATCATCTCTTTACCTTTTGCTTCTTCGAAAAAGAGAAAAGAGAGAAAAGAAATTCTAAGAACAGAAATTGAAAGCGTGATTTTTCTTTATGAGCATGAATCTGTAACTTACCAGAGATAATAAAGTTTGGTTTTTTTTTTTCTCGTAAATATAGTAATCTATCTATTTTTAAGTGTGTGTGTGTGTGTTGTTTGGGAGTAATGGGTAATTGTTGGTGTAGATTTGAGCCCTTAAATCACAGAGTTTCTGCAAACGCTAAATCAGGTTTTTACCTCTTCTTCTTCTTCTTATTCTTTATTTGTTTTTTTTTTCCTTGAAATTTTCTGTTACTGTTTATGGCAAAAATATTTCGCCTGAAATTCCGATATTTCCTAATGGGTTTTATCCTAAAAAACTTGCGCAAACTTGGAAATATCTGTCGGTTAACACCAAAATATTCAATGGACAATTATTTTACTTTCTTGATTTATTCTGATTATGCTCTGTTTTTTGTTTTTCTTAGTTTTTTGGGTTTCAAATTTGTTCAAATAGAGGTTTTATTTGGATAAGCTATTTCGTTTCTCTATATCCTATAAGTTTAAGTTTGGTTGGACTCATTTGTTGAGAATTTTGACTTAGTGATTCTTTGTTCTATAGAGTCTCCTTTTTTTGGTTTCGGCTTTTGTTTTCTTCTAATTTGGTCAAAGTCACATTTTTTATTATATATTCTATGTTCTTAGATTTTAGACCCCCTAGAGAATATTTCTAAAAAATCAATCAATTCCACAACATATTTACACATCTCTCTACAATCTTCAATTCAAGTTCAAAGAATCTAAACCAATTATTAAACATTGGTTTCTTTGTCTGAAACTTTTGCAGAGTCACCAAAAGAACAGAGTCCAACAGTAGAAGATAAACATATTAAGGAAGTTCAAAAGCTGCCATCAAATCCAAAAGAAGTTGAAGATCTTAGACGTGACTCAGCAGCGAATCCTCTGATAGCTTTCACGTACGAAGAGCTTAAGAACATTACAGGTAATTTCAGACAAGACAGAGTACTCGGTGGTGGTGGATTTGGAAGTGTTTACAAAGGTTTTATAAAAGAGGATTTGGGTGATCAAGATGTTCCTCAACCACTTCCTGTTGCCGTTAAAGTTCATGACGGCGATAATAGCTTTCAGGGTCACAGAGAATGGCTGGTTAGTCTCTCTGTCTTTTGCTTGCCTTCCAAGTTTCTCAACCGATTATGAATCATTGCAACTGAGAGATATGAGGAATGTGGATACCTCTGATCATGTGGAGTAGAGTAGTTTTCTGGATTAAGCTTTATTCACTCGATGACGATTTGAGATCGAATCGGGTCCTTAGTTGCCTGAGATTCTTATCTATTATCTCGATGTTGTGTAGGCAGAGGTGATATTCTTGGGGCAGCTTTCGCATCCAAACTTAGTGAAATTGATCGGTTATTGCTGTGAGGATAATCACCGGGTGCTAATCTACGAGTACATGGCTCGTGGTAGCGTGGAGAATAATCTTTTCTCAAGTGAGTTTTAGAGTTCTTACATTCATTAGTCTTCTTGCTGGACATCACTCTTGAATGGATTAAGAATTCTTGACTTATGTGTATCCTTTGGTAGGAGTGTTGCTTCCTCTTTCATGGGCAATTAGAATGAAGATTGCTTTCGGAGCTGCGAAAGGACTTGCCTTTCTTCATGAAGCAAAGAAACCTGTCATTTATCGAGATTTCAAAACCTCCAACATTCTTCTTGATATGGTTAGTAGTAGTAATAGTAGTATTACATCTATTCTCTGACACAGTTGTGGAGGTTTCATATGGCTATTGTAACAGGAATACAATGCCAAATTATCTGACTTCGGACTTGCTAAAGACGGTCCTGTAGGAGATAAATCTCATGTTTCCACTCGCATAATGGGAACTTATGGCTATGCAGCTCCTGAATACATCATGACAGGTTAGAAATTCAGATTACTAACTCACAAGTTACACATTTCTAGAATGTACCAGTACTATGCATCTATTTTAGCTCTTTGAAATCTAAGCTTCTTTAAGCTTGACATTTTTAGCTATTTAAAGCTAAAAGGACAACACAATGAGTTTGTTGTATTTGGATTCTTTCTGATTATATGTCTTGGTGACAGGTCATTTGACACCGGGGAGTGATGTGTATAGTTTCGGTGTAGTTCTGTTAGAGCTTCTAACGGGAAGAAAATCATTAGACAAGTCACGGCCAACGCGTGAGCAAAACCTCATAGATTGGGCTCTTCCATTGTTGAAGGAGAAGAAGAAAGTCTTGAACATTGTAGACCCAAGAATGAACTGTGAATACCCGGTAAAAGCAGTTCAAAAGGCTGCAATGTTAGCTTACCATTGCCTAAACCGGAACCCGAAGGCTAGGCCTTTAATGCGGGATATTGTGGATTCTTTGGAGCCTCTTCAGGCCACAGAAGAAGAGGCTTTACTAGTCCCCACTGTTCAGAAAGCAGTAGTTACAATAATCGACGAAATGCCTAAGAATGGATTGAAGAAAGTTGAAGAATTGAAGAAGGTTGAAGAATTGAAGAAGGTGGATGAGGTGAAGAAGGTTATTGAAGATGATGCTAATTCACATTGTAATTGATCACTTGGTTTTTTTTTTTTTTTTTTTTTTTAATATTCTTGATATACAATTTGAAAAGTGAAAACTAGATTGTGTTATGTGTATTTTGATGAGATACAGATTAAGAGAGAGATACAAAGGTTTGTGAATTTATTTTTTCTTCTATTGAAATACAAAAGCTTTGAACCTTTGTTTGTTTCAGCCACAGATTCCACTATGGACTGTTGAGTAAAACTTGTTTGTTTGGTTAAACTTCCTTCCAAATTAAAAACTTGATTTTGAGTTGGTTAGCAGTAAATAAAACGTCCTATAATTACACCAAGATACTAATGAGCCATATACTCAATATATCTTGATTACTATACGGCATTTAGGCCTGGACCGGATCCGGATATCCGGCTTTTTCAGGGTATCTGGATCCGGCCAGATCTGCCTTTTCATTATTTGGATCCAGATTCGCTCTATCCGGATATCCAGATTTAGGATATCCGTAAAAATAGCCGGATATCCGGATCCGGGTTTTTCCTATATAATTTTTTTTACTAATATAAAATTTGAAGAAAAATATTTAAAAACAAATAATTTAATATAAATAATTAAAAATATTATTATTATATAAAAATAATAATATCTAAATAATAGTAATAAAATATTTAAAAATATTATTATAATACAAAATATCCCGGATCCGTTTTAATTTTTCTATTATCCGGATCCGGATCCGGCCGGATCCGCTTTTTCATTATTCGGATCCGGATCCGGATCCGCCCCACCCGGATATCTTATTTTTCGGAGCGGATTGGAGCGGATCCCGGATCCCGGATAATTGGTCTGAGGGCTAACGGCATTGTTTAAGAGATCTAATCGGCTGGTTTCTTTACACTATAGGATTGTCTTAACTTTTAAATTCGTTATGTTTATGAGTGTTTGTTACTCTGTGGTTAATTGATGGGATTATGTTTTTAGATGATTTGATATGTGGTGGTTGATAGTAAATTCTGCTTAATTATCTGACCAAACAATCAACATAGTATATTGTCCATGTCAAAAGGAAAAAAAAAAAAAAAAGAATACTGTTGGCTCTACCTAATAAATATTGGATCAAACCAGTACAAAGCAGAACAGCCCGAAAAGTAAGCTAATAAAAGCCTAATTAATGTGGATATGGATCAATATGCATTCCGCTTAATAATTTGATTTATTTTTCATTTGCTAATGTGTGAACTGGTTATGAGCTGAGAAATTATGGTACAAATGTAAAAATCAGTTTCAGAATAGCCAAAGGAGAATGTAGCAAGTAGAAACCATCTTATTTATTTTAGCCATAAAACCCCACATAATTGAATAGGGTCTGCAAAATGTTCTAATAGAGTTAGATGAGGTATTTGTGGTAAAGTTCAATTTCAGAGTATGTAGCTAAACGAGAAAACCATGTAATTAATTTCATTAACCCGTAGAAACCAGAATAGCTAATAGAGGAACCATACTTAGGTTTACTCCTAGGGTGAACCTTTAAATTCACCTAACAAACAGATTATAGCCAATTGTTTTGCCATGTCATTATTAAAACTAGAGAATTAAAAAAAAAAAACACAAATAAAAAAAAGGAAATCAGGAAATAGATTTAGGGTTTAGGGTTTAGGGTTTAAGGTTTAGATTTTACAATTAAAACGAAATTAGATGTCGGTTTGGGTTGCCAAATGAGTGGTTAGGGTTTAGATTTTATAGTTAAAACTAAATTAGATATCGGTTAGGGTTTAGGGTTTAGGGTTTAGGGTTTAGATTTTACAATTAAAACGAAATTAGATGTCGGTTTGGGTTGCCAAATGAGTGGTTCACTACAAGAAAAATGGGTTTTCGTAGCATCCGAATAACGCTATCTAACGATTTCATAACATTTTGACAAGCGCTATTTCTGCGCCCGTCATAATAGATTAGACACTTTAGATAGCGTTTTTTGGTAATGCTATTTTATTGTTCTAAATAATAGCGCTTAATTGAATGTAATTAAAAATAATATAATAGCGTATTTATGATGTTATTAGTAATATTATTAACAACGTTTTGGATAATGTTATGTTTATTATTATTTATTATAGCATTATACATAAATACAAGATTGTATTCATGCAGTATTTGTGTATTTATACATTATATCAGTTTATTAATTTTTTTAATTATTTTTAATTTATCAGGTTTTTTTGATAAATTGACATATAAAAATATCATATTTTATTATTATATGAAATCATTACAAAAAATTTATATTACAAAGTAAAAATATAAAATTAAAAAGTAAAAGTAAAGACAGATTAATAGATTAATAGAAAATGGCACTATCATCTACTTATCAAAGAAAATGGCACTATCATCTTTGACCCTCTTCCTGCATGATGATCGCCCATGACTTATTGCAGAATTTTGTTCAGTGCAAAACCCCAATCATCTTAACAATGCACAGCCACGTAAATCTCACTGTAAACAAAACAACATCAACCAAAAATTGATTAGAATGTACAAATCTTTGATGCATCCAAACACACACAAAACCTTAATCCATGTGACGAGATGGAATCTAAAACCTGCAAACACCAAATTCTCATTAACACGTCACATCATTTACTTAAATTACCAATTCTACTTAAATCTAGACATTCAGACGGATACAAGTTTGTTAAGTAAAGAGGAATTAGTAAACAAACCATCAGATTTATGGAAACAAGAAGGTGAAAAGTCTCACCCGTGGCTCGAATGGTTTCCCTATTGATGTTTCCAATGAGGCTAGGTTTGCTCTGGTCACCGGTGGTCACGGCGGATCCATCTCTTGTGTTGCGTTTAAGAAATATGAGTTCCAGAAGGTGGCTACGGTGTGGGTTGGTCGAAGGCCTATCGAGACATGAGATTTTTCAGGTGAATTCTCGCGGAGGAGTG